AACCTCCGACACCTTCTTCAACGGAAAGCTCTCTGAGGTCATTTAGATTCTCAAACAGTGTCAAGCAAGAGGCCTTCTTCTGTTGTCTATAGGATGAGATTACCCTCAACCAATCTTGGGGGATCCAAAACGGCAGATCTCCCCCTTAACGGAGGCCTTACCACCTCCGGAGTCATCTCCTAGCCAACTCCATTGACCTCTGTAGTCCAGTCGAGTAAACGTGTCTTGGGAGATGATGATCTGGCTCCTCTCAATAGTCCTTCTGGAAGACCCGTCCTGTAGTGTTCTGCGAGATCTCCTGCAAGATCTTCTTTCTTCTCCAGAATCCTGATCCTCTCCGAGACGATTGAGTCTCTTGTTGAAATATTTATTTCCGCCGAGTCTTGGTGTAGCACCTCGAACTGCGTTTCGTGATCATGGTCTGGGGGAGAGGTTGTCCCTCTGCCAACCAGTATTTGATTGACTAATAAAGATGAATAACCTTTGTCAATTGATGATTAGTAGCACACAATTAAATAATGTGAGTATGCCATTAATGCCATCTATATATAAACATGAAAATTATAAGCAAATGGCATCTTACCCGATGTGGCATTTTTCCCTGAATTACCCTATAATAAAAAAATTTTTTTAATTATTTATTATACCTGCGCGCCGTGCATCCGTATATACAAGCGCTGAATTTATATTGAAGAATTTTGTTCTAAAATTTTAGGGACGTATTCTCAAAGAGTTGTATTATCGATTTATGAAAAAAAAAATCGATTTTTTTGAGCCTCTAATGTGAGAGACCTTCTTAAGTAACTTCTATAGATTGTGTTCTCACATATACAATCCTATAGATTATTATAACAATCATTTTGTTTCAACTCAATAACTGTATATCTGCAGAATTATTGATCAAATAATGTTTTCCTATTAACTTAGAGTGCTTTCCGTTTAATACATAATGCATTAGTTATCTTTATTATTCATCAAATAAATAAGGATTAATCAAACATCATGCGCATCATGCGTGAAACAGAATGTATCATTATCTATGTGTTAGCAGGTATTTATTACAAAGTAATATAACATACAAATTCAATTTAAAAGGATATTCTAGTCTAGAAGCCGAATTTTTATGCTCTTTTTGCGAATTTTTTAAAAAATATAAGATAAAGTTTTTTGGAACAGGGTTTTTTTCTACATATTTGTACATATTTGAAGAACGTTTCAGAATTTTTTTATTAAAAAATAATTGTTAATATGAGCTGTATAAAATATTAAGTATCGTTGTGAAAAATAAAACTAGGTCTGTGACTCCCACAATTTCAGCTTTTTTGCTCATCTGAAACAAAAAAAAACCAAAGAAATTCTTAATTAGTATGAGTTTAGCTATAGATACTAGAACGAAGAAAAAATATTGATAATTTAAAAAATGTTATGTAAAAAATTAAGTTTCGGTTTTTGCTTTTTTTTCCATCAAAATGTAAAAATTATAAAAATATATATTTCAACTTGATCCTAGTACGAGCTATAATTATATATCTGCTAAAGATATGTACACATATGTGCTCGGTTGGTTTTCGAGATATCATGGCAGCCAATTTGAAAAACATGGTTTCGAAAAAAACGCGTTTTTTGTACTGATTATATAATTTTACTTACGATTAATCAGCTAAAGTCCCCCTTTTTTCCATGTTCTGTCGCCGGAAACCGTTAAATGTGTTGTAACATTTCTAGCTGTTTCATTCTTCTTCTTCTCATCACCAAATTCTTTTGAAATAGGAAAGTCAATATCTTTCAAATTTTGCAGTTTTTTTTTGCGAAAATGAGTCGAAGATCGCTCCCTACCAAGGGCAATAACTTTGTTAATTTTGCAAATCAAACTAATTTCTTTTACAAATATATTTTCTATATCAAATACTTGCAAAATATGTAAAAAAAATTAATTTTTTACCCGCTAGACTAGAATATTCCTTTAACTCATTGCAATAACTTCTATACTCTCAAAGTCTAGAGCTATTACTTTTGATTGACTTCGAAGATTCGAAGGAATTCGAAGTTTCAAAATTAATTTCAAATTTTCGAAGTTTAAGATATTTTCGAAACTTTGAAGTTTCTAATAATAAATTCGAAGTTTACTTCGAAGCTTCGAAAAATACGTTCATGCGAGTGGCAAATTTATTTAGGAAATACAATATTAAAAATATTGTAAATAAAAAGAATTAATTAACGTATATGCATAAAAACTGTGACATTCTTAAAAAAATTTAGAAGTATTATATTAGGTGTTGGAATTAATTCGTAGCGTTTTTTAATGAAAGAATGTTATTTATTTCACATGAGCATTAAAAAATACATTAATGAAAGTACTTCCCATCACTTGTAAAACGCTACGAATTAATTCCAACACCTAATAACTAGAATATATTAATCATATTAATAATTAGTCAGACTCGATATACTTGTAAGAGAAAATAAAACATTCTAATTAAGAAAATTAAAAAAGTAAAACTAAATTTATTTTAAATGAATGAATAAAGAATAGTAAATTAATATGAATATTTTAACTTAATTAATTGTAAATCTTTCTAAGCATAAAATAATAATTTTAAGAATGGAAAATCGAGATAGAATTGTAAAATCGATGAAAGTGATTAAAGTATAAAATAAATCATATAATATAATAATATATTTAAAAACCTGATAAATTACAATAAAATAAAATTACAATAAACATAAAAAATATAAAATCTATAAACAACTATGATTTCTAAAAAGATTCAAAATAATGTCAAGTATTATGATGAAATAAATGTATTCTTCTGGAAAAACTATTGATAAATGGTAAAATGGTAAAAGAACATAAAACCACAGCACAAGATATTATTTGTGATATTATATTTAATATATATTTAATAAATTACATTAATAAAAATTTTTTAATTAATGTAATGATTTATTAAATATTACAAACAATATATTGTGCTGTAGTTTTATGCTCTTCTTTTTGTATGTTTAAATTTTTATTGATCAATAGTAACTATTTACCAACAGTAACTATTCATCAATAATAATTATTTACCAACAATAATTATTCACCAACAGTACTATTAGCCAAATAATATTGGCTAATAATATTGGCTAAATTTTTTTCATTTGCAGGAGTATTTTTGAAATCCTCTTTGAGTTATCTCTGCGTTCAGGTAAGTTTCCACAGTTACTGTTGCGAGAAAAAGAATTTGGATTAAGAAAATTGCTATTCTTAAACATAAATAAATAGAAATATGACACATCCAGAGGAATTATATCAATTGTGCTTTAAGCACTTGATTGATTTATAATAAAAGTTTCAATGTTCCATCTTAATGTCTCTATTATCTGTATCGATTATTTTAACGTTTGCCCAAAAATAATTATAAGGAAAAAATAAACCGAAGAATTCCTGCTATATAAAAAGTACCAGCTAGTCCGAAATTAGCACTGGTACACAAACTTAACATTTCATATTCTCGATCGTTGCGCCGACAGACCCATCTTTGATTTATTTCATTGCAACTTCCTACCAGGTGCGAAACTCGAAATAATCACATCGCGAATTCATTTATGTGCTAATAAAGCAGTCTTATTACACTATATTCATTTATAATGAAATAGATTGTGTCACGAGACTTATCATGGGGCAATGCATCGCAATTAAAAATATGCATTTACAGAGAAATCTCCTCTTGTTACCATTTCATAAAAGCAATGCGATACAAAGGAACATACTTTAAAAGAAACATTTTTTGCGTAATTATATAGAACAAAAATTTTAATAAAGCAATGTCGGAATCATACATTAAATCAGAGTCATACATTAAATCAGGACATCAATTAAGAATAATCTTTTATTGAGTATTTATATAATAAAATAGGGAGCAAAAATAAACTTAAAAAGTAATTAATTTTCGATTTATTAAAAAAAGAAATTCTTATTATTACATGCATAAATATGTAAAATTTCTCACAAAATCACATCAAAGAATCAAATACTGTTTGCGAATTTGGCCCATTAGCGTAATTATAACGACGATGATTGTAGCATGACTCTTGAATAATACGTGTTGTAGTACTGGCAAATGGTGGACGCAAAGTGGAAAATTTTTTTAATTGCCAGATAGTTGTGCGATAGTCCAAATTAATGCTTTTCATTGAAACTGGGCCAACACGGCTCGTGAATAGCAATTATAATAGTCCATAGAATATGATAAACGGAAATAAATGATACAAGAGAAAAAAAAGAATAAAGCACAAACGAAAAATTTTTTTTTTTGGTTGTAACTATTACCAAGACAAATTAATAGCATCGAGTGCTGTACGTAATGCCAGGTAGAAGTATCCTTTTATTCATTTTTTAAATGTATGCCTCATCCCCTTTCGACCACTCTTTTTCCTGGTCTTTTAACTAAACGTATATTTTTACATTTAGTCGGTTGACCATCATATTTTACTACTTACCGTATCCGGTTTACCAGAATAATTCGCATGTGTGCGTGTTTTGCTGTATGACAGAAGTTTCATTAACCGCTCATTTCTCATAATGTCATCTAGTGATAACTATAGGAACAATCGCGCGTAGGAGTGAGATACATACTCGAGCGTTTTTGTGACGTCCGTACTTATTCCAATATGAAAAGTGGAATTTGCTACGAAGATTGCTAACTTTTAAACGTTAACGTGACGTTCCTCATATTACCCTGAATATAACTGTATTTTTACTTTATTCATTTTCAAGAATTTTAAGCAATTGTTCTATTCTTAACACATTTATTTATCATAACATATATTTATGATAACATCATTATTAGCAACATTTCAACATTTTAAATAAATTAATCTTTTTGCCATGTCAAAAAATAGTCTGATTTCTTCATTAATTAATAATACACATAGAATAATTTATAAGAATTAATATTTTTATTAATGTAATCGTAACGACATTATACTATACGTTTGATGCATATTTTGTTTCAAATAAACAAGTAATTACTCGTTAACTTGCTCTCTAACAAAGATACTTTAGTGCTAGCTCTCTATAAAACTATTAAATCCGACTAATTGCAAAGAACAATTCATAGTATGATGCTCACAGAACAGGATCTTCGTGCCAAGTACTATTATTAATATACAACCTGAAAGCAATGGTGATTAACACACTAGTATGTAACTGGTATTAATATTTCGGTACTCACTCCGTGAGTAATTTCAATATCTTTCCTATAACACCATCCTTCTGCTTCGCGTATTGCAGGCCCTGGCAGATATTCTTTAGTAAGCAAGAACGGTCGAAATCATGAACACATGAAACATTTATCAAATTGATAAATTCAATCAATTCAAAAGTATAAATAAAATTATTAGGATAAAAAACTTTAAATTAAAATTAATAAATCATATAATCAATATAATACCAAGACAAACGTTATTTCTTTTACATTTCTTAATATTTAAGAAAAATAATAATTTAATGAGTTAACAAGAAGCTTAATAATTGTCATAAAATCGTTTAAATAAAAAATAAAATAATTATGAAATTATAATTACATAGGAGTTTAACTTATTACTAATAATTAAGAATACTATCGAAAATAGTAGCGGAATTGCACTTATTCCAATATCTTTAATCATCTTCATTGCTTAATCATCTTAATTATCTTCATTGCTCAAAAGTTACATAGGAGTTTAACTTATTGTTAATAATTAAGAATACTATCGAAAATAGTAGCGGAATTGCACTTATTCCAACATCTTTAATCATCTTCATTGCTTAATTATCATCTTAATTATCTTCATTGCTCAAAAGTTACGTTAAATAAATCTGTATGCATAAATCGATTTCAATTAAAAAAAAAAACTGAAAACCGTGGTTCACGAAACTACGGTCAAAAATTATGAAAATTGGTGTGCTGGCGATATTGCATCGCTCGCTATTCGATCTTAGTGATAGCGAAAGACTTCGGCCAGAAATTCATTCGCATCATTTTAGTTCCAACAGCCCGACCGACTCTAAACCATCCCCTTGCCATCTTCTACATTTACTCCCCGACATTCCGCTGTCGTGTTTCCAGTCTCCTCACGATTGTTGCCATTTTTGCATTATGCAGCGCAACTATTGCAGTATTTATTACCTTTCGTATACGAGCGCATTTATGGACATTTGGGATAGACCGGACGTTCCGAAGCTCACCGGTGATCGGCAATTCCCATGTCACCTTAAAGCCTGCCGCTTGCGCGAAGGTCGTCGTGTAAGGTAAAGAGTTTATCTTGTAGTTTAGGCGATACTGAAAGATTATTTATTTACCATTAATTCTAAAATTAATTTAGCATCAAACAAACAAATTTAATGCTTGTGAAATTCTCGTTACACAAAGACACAAACCAAATCCTGAATATATTAAGATATTCTAATACAGTTTGCATTCAACAATATGTATGTAAAAAAAAAGGTAAAAGAGATAATCAAATATAATTTGAAACTATTTTATTAATCCTTAAACGTTACAACACACTGCATTTCATAAAAATGAACATATTGTAAAAAAACTTTTTTTCAATCAAACTCGACATAAGAGACATAATAAGCAATGTATATATGCATCTTTATTAATAAAAAAGATATAAATAATAAAAAAACATTGGAAAAAAAAAAATATTGAAAACAGAAAATCAAGTAGATATGCTTGAAAATAATATTGAAAAGACATTTGAGGATTAACTATTTGAATACTCCTAATTGCAATCTAGATTTTGATTTTATTATTTTAGTTCTGTTCAATTACACGTGAGCGTGAGCGAAATAATTTAGATGGCTTCTGCATTCCGTGTGTGCAAAGAGAATCCTTCTTCGAAAACAAAATTGAGTAGGGAGGAGAAAGGAGCGAAGTCGCGCGGGATCTCGCGTGAAATTTTACCTACAACTTTCCCGGAATCCAAAATCATAAGTTCGTATCAAAGGATCGTGATCGTGTATAAAATCGCCATAATCTTCATGACGGAACTTTGTGAATTTCCGATCAGCCGTTCAATTCCGCCATGGTAGAAGTCGGAATCGGGCGATTCTCGTCTTATCCGAATTACTGTTGCGAATTATTTCGTTATCTATGTGAAAACAGGTTTAGGCGTTACTGTAACTTTCTTGTGCCACAAGAATGTATTATTTTCCACTCTTCGCTGCGAGGATTTCTTCTTCGTGGTTCAATCTTTATGTTCGTCCATAAATAACGAGATACTTATCGTAAAATTGCGTTTTCACGCCACGATTTTCTCCCACTTTTTATGAGTTATTCCCTCATATCCGAGCGAGCAACATTGCGACAATCTTCCGTGCCACTCGTCGATCTTTCATAAACAAAGTTCTCGGACAGCAATTTGCACACATTCGTAGATGTTTGACTTGAAATATTTGAAAGGTTGTTAGAAATTTAATAAGTTTTATCATAAGACAATGTCACACCGCGTGACGATTTTTTAATCTTGTTATTCTTTTGACCCTCCGTTTCAATCTAAGGTTTTTTTTTTATATAAGCGAAATTCTACTTTTTCTCATTCTCAATTTGTTCAAATCTCAATTTTTAATAAATAAAGTTTTAACGTTTAAGGTGATCCTAAAGCCTCCTATTTTACCACATAAGCACGTATAATTTTTGTATAAGAAATACTTTTTTTCTCTTTCACTGATTCAAAAATCCTTTTCCAGGATTAAAGTATACGCATGAATATGTGTCTGGATAGTCGAGTCTATACCGAGAACGATCAAAAATTTGAAATTGATATATTTTTTACAATTTCTAGTGACGCCAACATGGCGTCTTAGCTACTAAGTCGTGACAACATTTGCTTGATATGAAAGTTTTGCAACCTGTATGTACGAAATAATGATATCCAGACACGTGGTTTACACGAACAAACAACGTCGAGTTCTTACAATTAGACTTAGACGCTTTATCGCAATTTCTTATACGAATTTCTTATACGAAAATTGACACGTACGTATGACTGTGTGTACCATAGATTGAGATATTCGAGAGATATTCCTGTGATAATATAAAAAGACATGTCGATGTGCAGCGCGCGGCGCGACCTCTGATGATTTCGTTGGAGTTCGAACATTGCTTTAAGATCCCCTTAAGTTAAAAAATCATTTTAATATAATAAAAATATGAAAAGTAACCTTGAATTTTATTTGAAAATTTAAAACAACTTGAGCTGGGCAAAAAGATTGCAGGCGGAAGATTAATGAGTACTTACAATTAGAATTATTTTAAATATAGTCACGCACACATACAATTGAAACTAATTGAACTAATAAATTGAAAAGAAATATTTAAAATATACAGATAACAAAATTAATCTTATACATTCGTTTGACTGCAATTGTCTGTACCTAATGCTCAGATTATTTACTAATGCATTCATTTCGTGTCTAAATTGTAGCGCTCGATTTCTGATGTTTTTTTTTTTGCAAGAAACCGCCGCGGATAGAATGGCGAGGCAGAAACCTGCCGATTCCGCAATGCCTATTAACCGTGCGAATCGCCTGGGTATTGCTTTCAGTGTAAATGCGATGGAAGGATGGTGTCGTCTGGATCTGGCAAGCCGTTTGTCAGTGTCCCGCCACTTTACCATGTTGTAGTCGTCCCTGTTTCTTAGCAGCCGAGAATACGATAAGGCAATCGGATTATTTATGCGCAGCTTGCCAGACCGCCAAGACGAAGTATGTGCACTGGATCGTTGCATGCTGCATAATTTTCCGGCAGCGTTCAAAACGTAGTGCAAAATGCTTGGGGAGGCAGATAAAAATTACGTTCTCAAACAGAACGTAATTTTGCACATTCCTTTGTTCGTCGGAATTTTTAAAGATAAATCTTTCAGTGATTGTAGAAAGCATGGAATGTTGATGCATAAAAATAACAGTGTTATAAAAAAATCTACTTTTCAATTATATCGAATTAGTTCGTAAGTAAACGCATTCAAAATATCGATAAATTTACTATAACTTTGTTACAATAAACTTTGACATAGACTTATTAATAAATACGAGGTGTGGCTATTAAATAACGAGACTGACGCTGTAAAACATTTTATTTTGATTTCATACATATTTACTTATTATCAACTTCAATATACACCCCTCCTCTATCCCTACAACGCTCCATGCGAATCTTCCATTGTTTGAAACAATGCTGAAAGTCTTCTTCTGTCAGCTCCTTCAGGACGCGTGCCGCTTTCTCTTTCACAACTTCAACGGACTCAAATCTTTTTCCTTTTAATGCAGATTTCACCTTAGAAAACAGATAGAAGTCGCACGGTGCAAGACCCGGCGAATAAGACGGATGATCTAACACTGGGATGCTGTACTTGGCTAGAAACCTCTTGACAGACAATGCGGAATGAGCCGGCGCATCTTGGTGGAGAACCCATGATTTATCTTTCCACAATTCGGGTCGTTTTTTCCTTATTCTTTCACGGAGTTCAGCAAGAACGTAAAGGTAGTAATGTTGATTAATAGTTTGACCTTCAGGAACCCAGTGAAGGTACACAATCCCATGAATATTGAAAAAAACAATCATCATTGCTTTGAATTTTGATTTGCTCATTCGAGCTTTTTTCAACATCTTCTCGGCCGTCTTGGAAACGCTTAAATCACTCAAAAACACATGCACGCGATAAACATTCATGGCCATACACTTCTTTCAATAAATTATAAGTTTCAGTAGCGGTTTTTCCAAGTTTCACATGAAATTTCACAACAATTCGTTGCTCTATTGTTACACTTATCATTTTTCCGGCGAAACAAAAAAACAACTCTAATGCGAAAGAAGGCTACGGCTATACGGATTTGTTTACAGAAGCGAGAGGTACTGCATTCGAAAGAGAAGGCTTCACGCTAAACAGCTCGGTCGCTGGCGTTTGGCGCATGCGTACTTCTTCTGTAGCAGCGTCAGTCTCGTTATTTAATAGGCACACCTTATTTATATAAATCTAAACTAATTATTATTATTATAATTAGATAAAATAATTATTATTATAATTAGATAAATTTAAGTCAGTGAATTCAGCAATCTTCTTATAATAATGATATGATCGTCTCATACAATATTTCTGTCCTAAAGCACTATTATTTCAAAATAATTAATCGTAACGTTTACGTATAACGAAGCTTCGATTAAAATAATCTGTTAAATATGTATGTTCCTATGTACAGACAACGTTGATTCATGCATATTGATTCTGAGCTCTGTTCTCGTCCTATATGTCAAATAATGTACATGGTAAACACGGCGCGTATTACATCGATACTGCGGTGTACTTCATTGTTTATGAGTGCACTGGATCATTACGAGTTGCATTCTTCTACTGTATAAGTTTAAATGCTAAGATTTTAGAGATACATTCGCTTTTTTTTTAGAGTAAAGTTTTTATCAATATAATACAAGAGCATAACGTGTGTCTATTTTTAGGAATAAAAATGTTTTAAACAGAATATTTTAAGTCGCCAAATTAACGTAAATATGCAAAATATATTTTAATAAATTGCAGTCTTACAGAGATTAATAAATCTGTAATATTTGTAATTTTAATTATCTAATTAATTATGTTGATATATGTATGCAATTCAAGCGAATTGCATATGTCTCAATCCAATTTCTTGAAAAATACATCTATTGGCAATTATTGATCCTGATATAACTTTACACAATTTAACATTTTTTTTCCAATATAACTTTATGCAATTTGCATAATGTATAAATATAGGCATTAAATTGAAACTAATTTAAATTCGAAATTAGTCTCAAATTAAATAAGCATTGAATTAAATTTAGTTTGAATTCGAAATTACCATTTAATTAATTTTATAAAAATTGCGTTATGACTGACTCATCTCTTTTAATTTATGTTAATGATAATGTCGTCGGAGCATAAAGTCGTCGGATTGTCAGATCCAACTGCTTCGCAATAATGCCATTTTCTTCGAATAACTAACCAACTATGATGCATCGGTCCTAACATGACATTCCGAATATACCAAAAATTGATGCAATTCCGTGTGTTAAGGCATTTGTGACACTTGGTGTACGTACTTACGTCGCGAAGCGTTAACTTTATTCCGTATTAATGCTCCGCGCTAAATCGTGTTTCAAAATATGCCCGCCATCCGCGACTTCGTGCCTTTTAAAGCGAAAATACGGGAAGCTCTGATCGATTTACATTAGAGCCGGTCTCGTGTACGTATGGCGCATAAATTCACCGTCTCTCGCGTTGCAGCCGTGCGACGGAGGCTACATAAACA